TCAGCTGTCGCTATTTAATGGAGCGTTAAGTCGCTGGCCCTGCATTTCCCTAATTAAAGACGCCGCCCGCCCGTGCGAGCCGCTTGTTTGTTTACCCGTGGCGATTAATTTGTAAAATCTGTCAGCGCCACTCCACGCGGCGCTCTTAGGTAATTAGCTGCGCCGCGGCCACGGGCGGGAACTGACCCCCCCCCCGCTGCCCCCCCCCCCCCCCCCCCGTGTGAGCGATAGAGGATAGAGGCAAGAAACGTTTGAGTCTTCGTTCACTCCGTCGCCCACTCAGGGAAAGGGTGGAAGACTCTGCAAGAACTCGCAGAGCTCAAGAAGAGTGGAGACACCACGTGACTCTCAGGGCTCGTGAAGAGTGGAGACACCACGTGACCCTCAGCTCAAGAAGAGTGGAGACACCACGTGACTCTCAGGGCTCGTGAAGAGTGGAGACACCACGTGACTCTCAGGGCTCATGAAGAGTGGAGACACCACGTGACTATCAGGGCTCGTGAAGAGTGGAGACACCACGTGACCCTCAGCTCATGAAGAGTGGAGACACCACGTGACTCTCAGGGCTCATGAAGAGTGGAGACACCACGTGACCCTCAGCTCATGAAGAGTGGAGACACCACGTGACTCTCAGCTCATGAAGAGTGGAGACACCACGTGACCCTCAGGGCTCATGAAGAGTGGAGACACCACGTGACTCTCAGGGCTCGTGAAGAGTGGAGACACCACGTGACTCTCAGCTCATGAAGAGTGGAGACACCACGTGACTCTCAGGGCTCGTGAAGAGTGGAGACACCACGTGACCCTCAGGGCTCATGAAGAGTGGAGACACCACGTGACCCTCAGCTCATGAAGAGTGGAGACACCACGTGACTCTCAGGGCTCATGAAGAGTGGAGACACCACGTGACCCTCAGCTCATGAAGAGTGGAGACACCACGTGACCCTCAGGGCTCGTGAAGAGTGGAGACACCACGTGACCCTCAGCTCATGAAGGGTGGAGACACCACGTGACTCTCAGGGCTCGTGAAAAGTGGAGACACCACGTGACTCTCAGCTCATGAAGAGTGGAGACACCACGTGACTCTCAGGGCTCATGAAGAGTGGAGACACCACGTGACTCTCAGGGCTCGTGAAGAGTGGAGACACCACGTGACTCTCAGCTCATGAAGAGTGGAGACACCACGTGACTCTCAGGGCTCATGAAGAGTGGAGACACCACGTGACTCTCAGGGCTCGTGAAGAGTGGAGACACCACGTGACTCTCAGGGCTCGTGAAGAGTGGAGACACCACGTGACTCTCAGCTCATGAAGAGTGGAGACACCACGTGACTCTCAGGGCTCATGAAGAGTGGAGACACCACGTGACTCTCAGGGCTCGTGAAGAGTGGAGACACCACGTGACTCTCAGCTCATGAAGAGTGGAGACACCACGTGACTCTCAGGGCTCGTGAAGAGTGGATACACCACGTGACTCTCAGGGCTCGTGAAGAGTGGATACACCACGTGACTCTCAGGGCTCGTGAAGAGTGGATACACCACGTGACTCTCAGGGCTCGTGAAGAGTGGATACACCACGTGACCCTCAGCTCATGAAGAGTGGAGACACCACGTGACTCTCAGGGCTCATGAAGAGTGGAGACACCACGTGACCCTCAGCTCATGAAGAGTGGAGACACCACGTGACTCTCAGGGCTCATGAAGAGTGGAGACACCACGTGACCCTCAGCTCATGAAGAGTGGATACACCACGTGACCCTCAGGGCTCATGAAGAGTGGAGACACCACGTGACTCTCAGCTCATGAAGAGTGGAGACACCACGTGACTCTCAGGGCTCACGAACTCACGAAAGAGTGGGGACTCTAGGAGACATATAAATACCAGAGACTCTCAGAGCTCATAGTGCCAGCTGTTAACAGGACTTAATTTCTGATGTTTGCCTATTCAGGTACTCTGCTCCCTCTCCCCTCCCGTCTCACTTTACTCCCCTCCACGCACCCTCCTCCCTCTAAATATACTTCCAGCACGCACTCTCCTACCTCTCTCTCTCCTCTGATCTCACTCCACTCCCCTCCACGCACTCTCCTCCTTCTCCCCTCTCATCTCACTCTACTCTCCATCACGCATCGTCCGCTCCAGTAACAATGTCCAAGTGCGTATTCAACCTTTGCTCGGTGAGAGATCGCTCGTTCTCCTCTGCTGCCCCCACTGTCCGTATCTTCCCATTGAAGTCCAGGCTGAACACCGTCACGCCTCCTGGCCTTGACACTGTCTGAATCAAATACAAATTAACACCGACTCGGTGCAGCGTCTTACCACACCGTTGTATTTGAACGCCCTGTGCTGCAGAGAGGCAAGTGTTACCACTGCGCCACCCCATACATCTTTATTTACATCAATCAATGAGGTAACGCGCAGATCATTGATTAACTCGGGCTTGTTGGATCGCGTTCGTCTTCATCCGCGTGATATCGAGCGGTGGCGCTTTGGTCGGCGCACTGCGCTACGAACCCGGCGACCGAAAATTCGAATTTGAATCGCGGCCACGGCGAACATCATTGGCCAGTGAGACGCAGAACCCGAACCGGTCCTGGGCTTCCCTTGGGTCGACTCGGCCTTAAACGAGTGCCTGACGCGGGGTGTACACATCCGCACTCGGGAGACCACTCCTTTGTCGCGCCGTTCTCCGGCGTGAATGGGCGCTCGCTAACAGCACTTGCCCCCACATCCTGTGAAGGCTACACGGGAGGGGTGGGGGTCTTTGTCTTTGTTCTCTCGACGAGCAGTGAGAGCGAGGCGCGCCACCTGGCGGGAGGGAAGCGAGCGCGCAGGCGTGTACACACACATACACACCTAACACGTGTACACACACACCTAACCCGTGTACACACACACGTGTACACACACACGTGTACACACACACACCTAACACGTGTACACACACACCTAACCCGTGTACACACACACGTGTACACACACACGTGTACACACACACACACACCTAACACGTGTACACACACACCTAACACGTGTACACACACACGTGTACACACACACGTGTACACACACACCTAACACGTGTACACACACACGTGTACACACACACGTGTACACACACACCTAACACGTGTACACACACAGCTGACACACGTGTACACACACACCTAACACGTGTACACACACACACCTAACACGTGTACACGCACACGTGTACACACACACGTGTACACACACACACCTAACACGTGTACACACACAGCTGACACACGTGTACACACACACACCTAACACGTGTACACACACACACACCTAACACGTGTACACACACACCTAACACGTGTACACACACACAGCTGACACATGTGCACACACACACCTAACACGTGCACACACACACACCTAACACGTGCACACACACACACCTAACACGTGTACACACACACACCTAACACGTGTACACACACACAGCTGACACACGTGTACACACACACACCTAACACGTATACACACACACACCTAACACGTGTACACACACACAGCTGACACACGTGCACACACACACACACCTAACACGTGTACACACACAGCTGACACACGTGCACACACACACAGCTGACACACGCGTACACACCTAACACGTGTACACACACAGCTGACACACACACGTGTACACACACACGTGTACACACACACAGCTGACACACACACAGCTGACACACGTGTACACACACACCTGGCACACACACAGCTGACACACGCGTACACACACCTGACACACGTGTACACACACACAGCTGACACGTGTACACACACCTGACACGTGTACACACACACAGCTGACACACGCGTACACACACACACCTGACACACGCGTACACACACACACCTGACACACGTGTACACACACCTGACACACGCGTACACACACACAGCTGACACACGCGCACACACCTGACACACGCGTACACACAGCTGACACACGCGCACACACCTGACACACGCACACACACACACACACCTGACACACGTACACCTGACACACGTGTACACACACCTGACACACGCGCACACACACACACCTGACACGCGTGTACACAGACCTGACACACGCGCGCACACACACACCTGACACACGTACACCTGACACACGCGCACACACACCTGACACACGCGCACACACACACACCTGACACACGTACACCTGACACGCGTGTACACACACCTGACACACGCGTATACGGACAAAGAAACGTCCTCGTAGCCGACACGGGCTGCCGGGGCCACGTGATGTCCGGGACGAGCCCCTCTCAAGGCCGGACTGGCGCAGTCTCTTAGGGGATGGCGCAGTCTCTTAGGGGATGGCGCAGTCTCTTAGGGGATGTCGCAGTCTCTTAGGGGATGTCGCAGTCTCTTAGGGGATGGCGCAGTCTCTTAGGGGATGTCGCAGTCTCTTAGGGGATGGCGCAGTCTCTTAGGGGATGGCGCGGCCGGAACCATGTCCGGCCGCCACGTCTCTCCCGAGTCTGGTTTCTTTCGTACACCCCCCGTCATCCAAGGTGCTCATTTAAGGCCGAGTCGAACCTCGGGGAGGCCCAGGACCTATCCAGATATCACTCTCGCCACTGGTATCAGCCGTGGCCCCACCGCCGTCCCACCGCTCCCCCACCCCCACGTGTTCATGCGGCCCCCACGTGGGAGTGAGTGATGCGGCTCAGAGATGGGTGCGCGTAAAGTAGATCCCCGGACACGCGCACTTTGTATCCATCCGATATTAAATCGCGAACCATCACGCAGACACATATATGTATCCAGAACTGCGGATGCATACAGATACTGTACAACTTTACAAGAAAAAAACACAAATGGTAAACAAAAACAAACTTAATGATAAGACGGCCGTGACGTCACGCACTATAAGCAACCACGTGGGCGCGCTTGATGACCGGAGCACGTGGTCGGCGTTGAGGCCACGTGGAGCAGAAAGGAGAGAGGACAGGGAGGCGAGGCCGCCTGCAGCCACGGTGAGGGGCACGTGGAGACGACAGCGCCCAGGTGGAGCCGGCTGGGCCCGAGAGGAGAGGCGGGAAGGCGACGCCCCGAAGGTGGAGCGCGTGGAGCCGAAATGATGGTGCTGGGATCGGACACAGGCGATGGCATCGTGGAGGTGAGTGCAGCCTCGCGTCGTGGGCTCACTGCGCTGGGTGAGGGGCGGGTGAGTGTGGGGATGGCTGGGTGAGGTGCGGGTGAGGTTCAGGTGAGGCGCGGGTGAGTGTGGGGATGGCCGGGTGAGGTTCGGGTGAGTGGTAGGCGAGGCGCAGTTGAGCGGGGGAAAGGGTTCTTCTCTAACTACAACACTTTTGTCAATCCACTGCTGGACGAGGACCTCGCCACGCCTGTTATGCGACCATACTTCACCACGCTGGTCCAAGCGGGGAGCACGGACCTGGGAGCGTAGACAAGTGCGGCCACAACGATGGCTGTCGATGGCCTCCCCTCTGCTGCCCGCAACGTCAAAGCGCCCACGGCGGCGGCCTCTGTACGCCGCCGCCGGCGTGGGCCTCGCTCCGGCAAAGTCAAAGTCGCGGCCTCGCACTCTGCGGCAGCTTCCGAGCTCTGGCGAGATTGGGGGGGGCGGGGGGGGGGTGCCGCGTGCCCCCTGAGCAGGCTGCTGCTGCTGCTTGGGGAGGGCCCTGTGACTGCGGAGGCAATCGCAACGGCTTCTGAGAGAACCACACACACCACACACACACCACCCCACACACCCACTCACCACCAACACTCACCAGCCACACGCCACACACCACCCACCCCACACACCACACACCACCCACCCCACACACCACACACTCACCACCCACCCCACACACCACCCACCCACTCACCACCCACCCCACCCACACACCACCCAACCCACCCACACACCACCCACCCCACCCACACACCACCCACCCCACCCACACACCACCCACTCACCACACACCATCCACCCACTCACCACCCACCCCACCCACACACCACCCACCCCACACACCACTCACCCCATCCACACACCACCCCACCCCACACACCATCCACCCACTCACCACCCACCCCACCCACACACCACCCACCCCACCCACACACCACCCACTCACCACACACCCACCACCCACTCACCACACACCCACCACCCACACACCCACCACCCACTCACCACACACCCACCCACCACACACCCACCCACCACACACCCACCCACCACACACCCACCCACCACACACCCACCCACACCCACCCACCACACACCCACCCACCACACACCCACCCACCACCCCACCCACCACCACCCACCCACCCACCCACCCCACCACTCACCCACCCACCACTCACCCACCCACCACTCACCCACCCACCACTCACCCACCACTCACCCACCCCACCCACACACCACCCCACCCAACCCACACACCACCCACCCAACCCACACACCACCCACACACCACACACCATCCACCCACTCACCACCCACCCCACCCACTCACCACCCACCCCACCCACACACCACCCACCCCACCCACACACCACCCACCACCCACCCCACCCACACACCACCCCACCCAACCCACACACCACCCACCCCACCCACACACCATCCCACCCCACCCACACACCATCCCACCCCACCCACACACCACCCACCCCACCCACCACCCACCCCATCCACACACCACCCCACCCACCCCACACACCATCCACCCACTCACCACCCACCCCACCCACACACTACCCACACACCACCCACACACCACCCACTCACCACACACCATCCACCCACTCACCACCCACCCCACCCACACACCACCCACCCCACACACCACCCACCCCACACACCACCCACCCCACACACCACCCACCCCATCCACACACCACCCCACACACCATCCACCCACTCACCACCCACCCCACCCACGCACCACACACCCACCCACCACCCACTCACAACACACCCACCCACCACTCACCCACCCACCTACCACCCACCCACCACTCACCCACCCACCACTCACCCACCCACCACTCACCCACCCCACCCACACACCACCCCACCCAACCCACACACCACCCACCCAACCCACACACCACCCACCCCACCCACACACCACCCACACACCACACACCATCCACCCACTCACCACCCACCCCACCCACACACCACCCACCCCACCCACACACCACCCCACCCAACCCACACACCACCCACCCCACCCACACACCATCCCACCCCACCCACACACCACCCACTCACCACACACCATCCACCCACTCACCACCCACCCCACCCACCACCCACCCCATCCACACACCACCCCACCCACCCCACACACCATCCACCCACTCACCACCCACCCCACCCACACACTACCCACACACCACCCACACACCACCCACTCACCACCCACTCACCACACACCATCCACCCACTCACCACCCACCCCACCCACACACCACCCACCCCACACACCACCCACCCCATCCACACACCACCCCACCCACCCCACACACCATCCACCCACTCACCACCCACCCCACCCACCCCACCCACACACCACCCACCCCACCCACCCCACCCACACACCACCCACTCACCACACACCCACCCACTCACCACACACCCACCCACCACCCACTCACAACACACCCACCCACCCACCACTCACCCACCCACCTACCACTCACCCACCCACCCACCACTCACCCACCCACCACTCACCCACACACCACCCACCCACCACTCACCCACCCACCACTCACCCACCCACCACTCACCCACCCACCCACCACTCACCCACCCACCCACCACTCACCCACCCACCACTCACCCACCCACCACTCACTCACCACACACCCACCCACCACCCACTCACCACCCACCACACCCACCCACACACCACCCACCCCACCCACACACCACCCACCCACCCCACCCACCACCCACCCACCACCCACTCACCACCCACCCCACCCACACACCACCCACACACCACCCACCCCACCCACACACCACCCACACACCACCCACACACCACCCACACACCACCCACACACCACCCACCCCACCCACACACCACCCACCCACCCCACACCCCACCCACACACCACCCACCCCACACCCCACCCACACACCACCCACCCCACACCCACACACCACCCACCCCACACACCACCCACCCACAATCCCACACACCCCACCCACACCCCACCCCACCCACCCACAACCCCACCCACCCCACCCACCCCACACACCACCCACCCCACCCACTCACCACTCACCACACACAACCCACTCACCACACACCACCCACCCCACCCACTCACCACTCACCACACACAACCCACTCACCACACACCACCCACCCCACACCCCACCCACCCACAACCCCAGCCACCCCACTCACTCACCACACACCACCCACCCCACACACCACCCACCCACAACCCCACCCACCCCACACCCCACACAACACACACCCCACCCACCCCACCCACTCCACCCACTCACCACACACCACCCACTCACCACACACCACACACCATCCACCCACAATCCCACACACACCACCCACCCACGGGCAGTAAGTTGGCACAGTAAGGGGACTCAGGTGGTGCAAGCGGCCAGTCATCTCAGTCGGTCGACCCGTGGCACCCGCTGCGTTTTGTCCCGTGACCTTCTGCCCAGCGGGCGTTCGACACTTCAACCGCCATTCGCCGCTTGGTGGCGAATGGTGGTTGTTGCACACCGGTTGCGAGTAGCACCTATGAAGGCCGGAACGGCACACGAGGGGGTGGGTGGCCGGCCATCAACTGCGCCCGACCGCCTTTGTCTCCCCAGTGGCGATGTTTACTACATACCGCACCAGGTACTCATTTGAGGATTAGTCGATCTAGGGGAGGCCCAGGATAGGTTCAGGTAATCGTCACTCGTGTTGACCGTGAGCGGGCATCGATCGCGGGTTGCCAGGTTCGGTGAGCAGCGTGCTAACAACTGCAATACCGCAGACACACAAAGACAAACACAGAGACACACAGAGACACACAGAGACACACAGAGACACACAGAGACACACAGAGACACACAGACACACACAGACACACACAGACACACACAGACACACACAGAGACACACAGACACACACAGACACACACAGACACACACAGACACACACAGACAGACACACAAAGACAAGTCGACCTAGGGAAGGCCCAGGACCGGGTCCAGATAATCGTCACCGGTGTTGGTGGCCGTGAGCGGGTAGCGGGAATCGAACCCGCGTGGATTCTTCCTCCGGGTCCTCCGGTTTTTCCCTCCACATTTATGGACACGCGTTTAAAGTATTTGGCAGCTATTTTTCCACGCAATAAGCCACTTCGTTGAGCTATCATTTGTGGCCCGGTCGCTTCTGAAAAAGAGCTATACAGCTCAGTGGATCTTAGCTTGTAAAATAAAAGTTTATTTGAGTGATTTGCTTAACTTTACTATATTTTTAATTCCTATCGTTTGTGTAATGCATTTGTTGTAACTTTTTAACCTGCCCCTACAGGGCATCTGTAAAAAAAAGAGCTTCATAGCTCATCAGATTTATCCAGGATAAATCCGATGATTTAAAAAGTTGAAACTGACTTCCATTTACTTAAAGGCATTGGAGAGTTCTCGTTTGAAATTAATATAGGACTTCTTTTTAAAGATTTCAGGTGTAATTTTCGAGCATGAATCAATGACGTTTCGTCTCTTCATAATCGGGTTTCTTGGTCGAGTTGAGTAAGTGGACGTATTGGTGCTACAATGGTGCAGCAAGCATGAAACAGTCCAAAATCAACGTTTCAATCACTGGACCCCTGTCGCCAAGTTTGAAGGTTTATTCACTCTACCGGGACTTGCTAAAAAAAGGTCAACATTGTCCGTTGATTTGGGTCCGTTGGTTGAATGGAGGAACCAGCCGACCAAGTCTCTCGGGGCACGAGGAGTAAGTAATCTGTCTTTTGGAACTCGGAGCAAGCGAGTCGTCATCATGGCTGGGTGCTGCGGTACGGCAGCTGTCTGTGCAGCTTCGTGTTCAGCCGGCTCGTTTCAACATTGCGACTGCTTTGACGTCACGAGAACCGACTTTGACTCGCGCCACCGCCACCCCGCCAGAGTGTCTGACCGGGGGCTGCGAATTGTGGGAAAATAAATAATTATAGCGAGAAATGTGAATTGTGTTCTACCGCACACCACCGACCAATACGTTCAAATGCCGTCTGAAAAGAATAATGAAAGATAAAATATTCACTTTAAAGACTAAATGGATACAATTTTTTCATGCCAATGTTAAAATTAATTAAATAACCCCGTGTGTCCGAACGTTCGGATCACTCTAGATAGTTTCTGGACATCCGCTGCGTGAAATACCAGATGACGTTGAAGGAATGCTAAGACGGACCGATAGACGTGCCAAAGGAGGGCGAGAGAGAGAGCGAGAGAGAGTTCCGCGGCACCGTTTGACGGCGTGGCGTGCGGAGAGGAATTGGAGAGCGCAGCACACGGGGGTGGCCGCCGGGAGGTCGGGAGAGAGGAGCAAAACCTTGAACGTGAGCGCGTGCTTAGAGAAGAGTAATGGGACCCAGCGAAGGGATTCTGTGTGATGTTTAAACACCTGTGTCTCACCTGTGTCTCGCCTGTGTGATGTGTGCAGAGCTGGTTTACTGAACCCAAACGTGGTAAGGAGCCACAAGCAACGTTTCCTGTACACGTAAAACAACTCACCCCGCTCACCCCGCTCACCCCGCTCACCCCGCTCACCCCGCTCACCCCGCTCACCCCGCTCACCCCGCTCACCCCGCTCACCCCGCTCACCCCGCTCACCCCGCTCACCCCGCTCACCCCGCTCACCCCGCTCACCCCGCTCACCCCGCTCACCCCGCTCACCCCGCTCACCCTAATCTGGCTCACCCACACTTACCGTAATCCAGCACTCCCCAATTACGCTCACCCCACTCGCATTCGCTCGCTCACCCACACTCCGCCTGCACCCCAGTCGCCCTGCTAACCCTCACCCCACTCTCACACTCACCCCACTCTCACACTCACCCGACTCTCACTCTCACCCCACTCTCACACTCATCCCACTCTCACACTCACCCGACTCTCACTCTCACCCCACTCTCACACTCACCCCACTCTCACTCACCCCACTCTCACACTCACCCCACTCTCACACTCACCCCACTCTCACACTCACCCCACTCTCACACTCACCCGACTCTCACTCTCACCCCACTCTCACACTCACCCCACTCTCACACTCACCCCACTCTCACTCTCACCCCACTCTCACACTCACCCCACTCTCACACTCACCCCACTCTCACACTCACCCCACCCTCACACTCACCCACTCTCACACTCACCCCACTCTCACACTCACCCCACTCTCACACCTCACCCCACTCTCACACTCACCCCACTCTCACACTCACCCCACTCTCACACTCACCCCACTCTCACACTCACCCCACTCTCACACTCACCCCACTCTCACACTCACCCCACTCTCACACTCACCCCACTCTCACACTCACCCCACTCTCACACTCACCCCACTCTCAACTCACCCCACTCTCACACTCACCCCACTCTCACACTCACCCCACTCTCACACTCACCCCACTCTCACACTCACCCCACTCTCACACTCACCCCACTCTCACACTCACTCTCACACTCACCCCACTCTCACACTCACCCCACTCTCACACTCACTCTACTCTCACACTCACTCTACTCTCACTCTCACCCCACTCTCACACTCACCCCACTCTCACACTCACCCTACTCTCACCCCACTCTCACTCTCACCCTACTTTCACTCTCACCCCACTCTCACCCTACTCCCACCCCACTCTCACTCTCACCCCACTCTCACTCTTACCCTACTCTCACCCTACTCTCACTCTCACCCTACTCTCACTCTCACCCCACTTTCACCCCACTCTCACACTCACCCCACCCTCACACTCACCCCACTCTCACACTCACCCTACTCTCACTCTCACCCCACTCTCACACTCACCCCACTCTCACCCTACTCTCACTCTCACCCTACTCTCACTCTCACCCCACTCTCACACTCACCCCACTCTCACCCTACTCTCACTCTCACCCCACTCTCACACTCACCCTACTCTCACACTCACCCTACTCTCACTCTCACCCCACCCTCACACTCACCCTACTCTCACACTCACCCACTCTCACACTCACCCCACTCTCACACTCACCCTACTCTCACTCTCACCCTACTCTCACACTCACCCTACTCTCACTCTCACCCTACTCTCACACTCACCCTACTCTCACTCTCACCCCACTCTCACCCTACTCTCACCCCACTCTCACACTCACCCTACTCTCACTCTCACCCCACTTTCACCCTACTCTCACCCCACTCTCACACTCACCCTACTCTCACTCTCACCCCACTCTCACTCTCACCCTACTCTCACCCTACTCTCACCCTACTCTCACTCTCACCCTACTCTCACTCTCACCCTACCCTCACCCTACTCTCACCCCACTCTCACTCTCACCCTACTCTCACCCTACTCTCACCCCACTCTCACTCACCCTACTCTCCCCCTACTCTCACTCTCACCCTACCCTCACTCTCGCCCTACTCTCACCCTACTCTCACTCTCACCCTACTCTCACCCTACTCTCACGCTCACCCTACTCTCACTCTCGCCCTACTCTCACCCTACACTCACCCTACTCTCACCCTCACCCTACTCTCACCCTACTCTCACCCTACTCTCACCCTACTCTCACTCTCACCCTACTCTCACCCTACTCTCACTCTCACCCTACTCTCACCCTACTCTCACCCTACTCTCACCCTACTCTCACTCTCACCCTACTCTCGCCCTACCCTCACCCTACTCTCACCCCACTCCCACTCTCACCCTACTCTCACTCTCACCCTACTCTCACCCTACTCTCACCCTACTCTCACGCTCGCCCTACTCTCACCCTACTCTCACTCTCACCCTACTCTCACTCTCACATCACTTTCACCCTACTCTCACCCTACTCTCACTCTCACCCTATTCTCACCCTATTCTCACCCTACTCTCACCCTACTCTCACTCTCACTCTACTCTCACCCTACTCTCACCCTACTCTCACCCTACTCTCACTTTCACCCTACTCTCACCCTACTCTCACTCTCACCCTACTCTCACTCTCACCCTACTCTCACCCTACTCTCACTTTCACCCTACTCTCACCCTACTCTAACACTCACCCTACTCTCACTCCACTCTCACTCTCACCCTACTCTCACCCTACCCTCACCCTACTGACACCCCACTCCCACTCTCACCCTACTCTCACTCTCACCCTACTCTCACTCTCACCCTACTCTCACCCTACTCTCACTTTCACCCTACTCTCACCCTACTCTAACACTCACCCTACTCTCACTCCACTCTGACTCTCTCTCTACTCTCACCCTACTCTCACCCTACTCTCACACTCACCCTACTCTCACACCCCTACTCTCACCTACTCTCACTCTACTCTCACTCTACTCTCACCCTACTTCACTCTCACCCTACTCTCACCCTACTCTCACCCTACTCTCACCCTACTCTCACCATACTCTCACCACACTCTCACCACACTCTCACCCTACTCTCACTCTCACCCTACTCTCACACTCGCCCATGGGAAGGTGGGAAACCACTCGTTCCCTCCAGTGTTGCTGCGATGTGACTGTTGATATTTTGGTTGTTGCAGTTGTGATTATTGTCGATGTTGTGGTTGCAGTTGTGTTGATGTTGTGATGGTTGTTGTTGATGTTGTGGTTGTTGCTGTTGTGGTTGCTGTTGTGTTGCTGTTGTGGTTTCTGTTGTGGTTTTTAATGTTGTTGTCGTCGATGTTATTGTTAATGTTGTGTTTGTTGATGTTCTCATCGATGTTGTTAATGTTGTGGTTGTTGACGTTGTTGTGGTTGTTGATATTGTGGTTGATACTCTTGGGTTCTTTCGGTAAAGTCACGTAGGTATAAAACAAAATAAATTAACTCACGACGTTTCGATTGCAACACAAGCAATCATCATCAGGTGGGAAAACCACAGCAAGAAAACGTTTTGCTGAAGTGGGAGAGAGATGCCATGGTATAAACCTCTTACCACTTCAGCAAAACATTTTCTCGCTGTGGTTTTCCCACCTGATGATGATTGCTTGTCTTCTTGGTTCTTTCGGTAAAGTCACGTAGAATGGAAATAATAAAATAATAAAAATTAAACATAATAAAATAATTCTCACGACAGGCATAAGTTGTACTAATCACATACCTGCATTTCCCATATCCCCTCCCTTTGATGCTGCTAATCCTGCATTATGCACAGGAATAAGTAGTACTAATCACATACCTGCATTTCCCATAAATATGCTAAATTCCTCTTGATATGCAAATTCCTTTGTCAAGGTGCTCTTCCCCCTCCAACCCAGCTTAAATATACGCTGCCAAGCCTGGTGGTGTTCATTCAGACGCTGTCTTTCTGACAGACCTGTTCTTCACCTGAGGACGGCTGCTTGCGTTGTGGCCGAAACGTCGCGAGAAATTTTCTATTTATTTATTTAATTATTTCTATTCTACGTGACTTTACCGAAAAAACCAAGAAGATGAATCCCTGCAGTCACGGAAGCTTTAAATCGAAATTTATGATTGCTTGTGTTGCAATCGAAACCTCGTGATTTAATTTATTTTATACCTACGTGACTTTACCGAAAGAACCAAAGAGTATGGATCCCTGCAGTCACGAAAGCTTCAAATCTAGATTGTGGTTGATGTTGTTGTTGTTGTTGACACGCCACCATGTTTGTGTTGTGCTCGTCTCTGCACACAAAGCCAAGGCGTCATTAAGAGACCGGGGCAGCAAGAAAGTCAGCGGGAAGAGCGGCCGA